CAGTATGCCATGCTAACTCTGTAGGGGCAGTGCTAGCCATGCTAACTGTGTAGGGTCAGTGCTAGCCATGTTAACTATATAGAGTCAGTGCTAGCCATGTCAACTATGTAGGGGCAGTGCTAGCCATGCTAACTATGTAGGGGCAGCGATAGCCATGTTAACTATGTTGGGGCAGTTATAGCCATGCTAACTATGTAGGGGCAGTGATAGACATGCTAACTATGTAGGGGCAGTGCTGGCCATGCTAACTATGTTGGGGCAGTTATAGCCATGCTAACTATGTAGGGGCAGTGATAGACATGCTAACTATGTAGGGGCAGTGCTGGCCATGCTAACTATGTAGCAGCAGTGATAGCCATGCTAACTATGTAGGGGCAGTGATAGTCATGCTAGCTATGTTGGGGGCAGTGATAGCCATGCTAGCTATGTAGGGGGCAGTAGTGTTCTTTGACAAACAATGATGCCTCCAGTAAAGCACATTAAAATTAAAATTATTCTGAATTAAAAACACTTCCCATTGAACAAAATGTAGTAATTTCATGTGTAAAGTACTTTCAGAAGTTTAAATTCTGAATATAACCTGACTTTTCCTTTAACACTGTTGTTTTCCTTTTCTTCTTCTTCTTCTTATGAGATTTTATGGCGGTTGGCAAACTTGTGAAATGTGCATTACCGCCACCAACTGATATGGAGTAAAGCAAGGAAACAGGAAACGATTCACCCCCCCCAAAAAAAAAAAAAAAAAAAAAAAAAAAATACAATAAAATAACCTGTGTAACTTAAACCCACATAATACTAAATTATACTAAATTACATTTGCCCGTATAATTTTAATTTACTCTAGGTCATCGTACCTCTGCCAGTTTCTGATGGTCCCATTGGTCTTTCCATCATGCTTCCAACCATCTCCCAGTTCATATCTTTAACATCCAGATATTTTTCTGCAGCCTTCACTATTATTTTGATTTTTTCTGTTTTTTTTGTCGTCTGAGCAGTACAATTAATCACTTCCACCATGAAAAGAACAAAATTTGTCTTTTTAACAATTAGTGAGTCTTCATCAATTTTTGGAGATTTCTCTAGAGGTTTGAAATTTGCCGTGTGTTGAACTGTAGGTTTGGGTTTTTCTGACTGAGATGGGATCCTTTTTGCAGCTTCAGCATAAGTTATTCCAAGCTCAAATTTCATTTTTTTTATTTCTTCAGACCTTTTGCTTGCTTCACAGCCGCGATAAGCAGCAGTATGTTCTCCACCACAATTACAGCATTTTATTTTAGCTTCTTTTCCACATTTACCATATTCATGTTCTCCTGCACACCTTCCACACCTCTGTTTCCCTTTACAAACTGCTGCAATGTGTCCGAATTTTTGACATTTGAAACATCTCAATGGTGGTGGATTGTAGATTTTGACATTGTAACTGATGTAACCGATGAATACTTTGCTTGGTAATTGCTCTTCCTCGAATTTAATTAGTACAGATAAACTGTCAGATCTTTCTCCGTTTCTTGTTGTTTTTAACCGTTTTACTTCTTTTACTTTTGCACCGCTTATGTTTTCCAGAATCTCTTTTTCAGAAATTTTCAGAGGAACTCCTCCAATGACTCCCCTGCTGATCTTTTTGTTCTCCATTAGGCTGCACTGAACTCTTATCCCGTCAATTTTGTTAATACGTATTGCTTTGCCTTGCTGGGCGCTGTCTCTGCAGTTAATTAGCAGGTCTCCACTGTACAGAATTCTGGCACCTCTGACTTCTCCAACAAGTTTATTGATGGTTTTTGTTAAGTGAACCGGATTCCAGTTTGTAAAAGAGTCTGCCTGATTAACGACTTTGAATATGACTTTGAATTCATTTTGTTGTGCTGTGGAATGTATGGATTGATCATCACTGGATTGTTCTGAACTAGATTCCCCTTTAACTGATCTCTGTTTTTTCCGCTTTTTCTCATTTTTTGATGCTGCTATCTTCCAACCTTCATTGTCACTATTTCCCTCTTCCATCCCACAAGAATCGCTTCCTGTTTCCTCACTACTCACGGCCCAGGACATTTCTCCACAAGCAGAGCAGCTTCAAAACACGCGCCATGCACCAAACGACCGTTTCCCTTCTCTTCTTCTTCGCACAACTTAAAGCCGGTATAGCGCCTTCCTTCTTCTTCTTCTTCTTATGGGATTTTATGGCGGTTGGCAGACTTGTGAATTGTGCATTACCGCCACCAACTGATATGGAGTAAAGCAAGATAACAGGAAACGATTCACCCCCCCCCCCAAAAAAAAAAAAAAAAAAAAAAAAAAAAAAAAAAAAAAAAAAAAAAAAAAAAAACCTGTGTAACTTAAACCAACATAATACTAAATCACATTTGCCCATATAATTTTAATTTACTCTAGGTCATCTTAACTCTGCCAGTTTCTGATGGTCCCATCGGTCCTCCCATCATACTTCCAACCATCTCCCAGTTCAAATCTTTAATGTCCAGATATTTTTCTGCAGCCTTCACTATTATTTTGATTTTTTCCGTTTTTTTTGTTGTCTGTGCAGTACAATTAATTACTTCTACCATGAAAAGAACAAAATTTGTCTTTTTAACAATAAGTGAGTCTTCATTAATTTTTGGAGATTTCTCTAGAGGTTTGGAATTTGCTGTGTGTTGAACTGTAGGTTTGGGTTTTTCTGACTGAGATGGGATCCTTTTTGCAGCTTCAGCGTAGGTTATTCCGAGCTCAAATTTCATTTTTTTAATTTCCTCAGACCTTTTGCTTGCTTCACAGCCGCGATAGGCAGCAGTATGTTCTCCACCACAATTACAGCATTTTATTTTAGCTTCTTTTCCACATTTTCCGTACTCATGTTCTCCTGCACACCTTCCACACCTCTGTTTCCCTTTACAAACTGCTGCAACGTGACCGAATTTTTGGCATTTGAAACATCTCAATGGTGGAGGATTGTAGATTTTGACATTATAGCTTATGTAACCGATGAATACTTTGCTTGGTAATTGCTCTTCTTCGAATTTAATTAGCACAGATAAACTGTCAGATCTTTCTCCGTTTCTTGTTGTTTTTAACCGTTTTACTTCTTTTACTTTTGCACCGCTTATGTTTTCCAGAATCTCTTTTTCAGAAATTTTTAGAGGAACTCCTCCAATGACTCCCCTGCTGATCTTTTTGTTCTCCATTAGGCTGCACTGAACTCTTATCCCGTCAATTTTGTTGATACGTATTGCTTTGCCTTGCTGGGCGCTGTCTCTGCAGTTAATTAGCAGGTCTCCACTGTACAGAATTCTGGCACCTTTGACTTCTCCGACAAGTTTATTGATGGTTTTTGTTAAGTGAACCGGATTCCAGTTTGTAAAAGAGTCTGCCTGATTAACGACTTTGAATATGACTTTGAATTCATTTTGTTGTGCTGTGGAATGTATGGATTGATCATCACTGGATTGTTCTGAACTAGATTCCCCTTTAACTGATCTCTGTTTTTTCCGCTTTTTCTCATTTTTTGATGCTGCTATCTTCCAACCTTCATTGTCACTATTTCCCTCTTCCATCCCACAAGAATCGCTTCCTGTTTCCTCACTACTCACGGCCCAGGACATTTCTCCACAAGCAGAGCAGCTTCAAAACACGCGCCATGCACCAAACGACCGTTTCCCTTCTCTTCTTCTTCGCACAACTTAAAGCCGGTATAGCGCCTTCCTGTCGGAACGTTTTCCTTTTCTTTCTTGCTTAAGCGGCTTTCTACCAGTAGGGGGCAGTATCCCTCTCACAGGTCAGGGAGGAGCGCAGGAGACAGAGGGGAAGTAGTAGAAGAAGAAGAAGCTCTCTACGTTCAGCAGCAGATCGAAATGGCGGCGCCAGCAGAGAGGATGGAGGTAAGGTGTTAGCAGCGGGACCGGGTCTGTAGTTTATCGGTTATTTATCAGGTGAATCTGCGGTGTCCGAGTCCTCGGCAGGCGGGGAGCCGCTGCTTCATCTCTGCGTCTCTTTCACCTGGAACCGCGTCCTTTTCAAGCATCAAAGCGTCCATTTTATCTGCGTCAACGTTTAATAATGATGCTCTCATTCATCGCAGCTGGAAAAATAAAAACGCAGGTCTGTAACATCAAAGAAGCCGCTTTTATTGAATGGAGGATATATCTAGGTTATGTTTGTGGGGCGGGATTACCACATCCACCAGGACCATTCTAGTTGATGTAGCGCTCAGCCGGTCGGACCGCATGGGCTCCAACGTGTTAGCATCCGGAGCTAACTCAGCTAGCCTAGCCGCTCATAAAGAGATGAACTAGAGACTGAACCCTTCTGGGTCAGGATGGGGTTTATTCTCTGATCCGGGTTTTATTCCATAATCCGGTTTTAATTCCTGATCTGGGTGTTATTTCATAATCTGGGTTTTATTCTATAATCTGGGTTTTATTCTATAATCTGGGTTTTATTCTATAATCTGGGTTTCATTCTACAGGTGCTGGTCATAAAATTAGAATATCATGAAAAAGTAGATTGATTTCAGTAATTCCATTTAAAAAGTGAAACTTGTATATTATATTCATACATTACATACAAACTCATATATTTCAGATGTTTATTTTGTTTAATTTTGATGATTACAAATGACAACAAATGAAAATCTCAAATTCATCATATCAGAAAATTAGAATATTGTGAAAAGGTTCAAAATTGATGGCCCCTGGTGCCACACTCTAATCAGCTAATTAACTCAAACCACCTGCAAAAGCCTTTAAATGGTCTTTCAGTCTAGTTCTATAGGCTACACAATCATGGGGAAGACTGCTGACTTGACAGTTGTCCAAAAGACGACCATCGACACCTTGCACAAGGAGGGCAAGACACAAAAGGTCATCGCTAAAGAGGCTGGCTGTTCACAGAGCTCAGTGTCCAAGCACATTAATAGAGAGGCGAAGGGAAGGAAAAGATGTGGTCGAAAAAAGTGTACAAGCAAGAGAGATAACCGCACCCTGGAGAGGATTGTGAAACAAAACCCATTCAAAAATGTGGGGGAGATTCACAAAGAGTGGACTGCAGCTGGAGTGAGTGCTTCAAGAACCACCACACACAGACGTATGAAAGACATGGGTTTCTGCTGTCGCATTCCTTGTGTCAAGCCACTCTTGAACCACAGACAGCGTCAGAAGCGTCTTGCCTGGGCTAAAGAGAAACAGGACTGGACTGCTGGTGAGTGGTCCAAAGTCATGTTCTCTGATGAAAGTAAATTTTGCATTTCCTTTGGAAATCAAGGTCCCAGAGTCTGGAGGAAAAGAAGAGAGGCACTTCATCCACGTTGCTTGAAGTCCAGTGTAAAGTTTCCACAGTCAGTGATGGTTTGGGGTGCCATGTCATCTGCTGGTGTTGGTCCATTGTGTTTTCTGAGGTCCAGGGTCAACGCAGCCACATACCAGGAAGTTTTAGAGCACTTCATGCTTCCTGCAGCTGACCAACTTTTTGGAGATGCAGATTTCATTTTCCAACAGGACTTGGCACCTGCACACAGTGCCAAAGCTACCAGTACCTGGTTGAAGGACCATGGTATCCCTGTTCTTAATTGGCCAGCAAACTCTCCTGACCTTAACCCCATAGAAAATCTATGGGGTATTGTGAAGAAGAAGATGCAATACACCAGACCCAACAATTCAGAAGAGCTAAAAGCCACTATTAGAGCAACCTGGGCTATCATAACACCTGAGCAGTGCCACAGACTGATCGACTCCATGCCACGCCGCATTGCTGCAGTAATACAGGCCAAAGGAGGCCCAACTAAATACTGAGTGCTGTACATGCTCATACTTTTCATGTTCATACTTTTCAGTTGGCCAACATTTCTATAAATCCTTTGTTTTTATTGGTCTTCAGTAATATTCTAATTTTCTGATATGATGAATTTGAGATTTTCATTTGTTGTCATTTGTAATCATCAAAATTAAACAAAATAAACATCTGAAATATATGAGTTTGTATGTAATGTATGAATATAATATACAAGTTTCACTTTTTAAATGGAATTACTGAAATCAATCTACTTTTTCATGATATTCTAATTTTATGACCAGCACCTGTACAATCTCGGGTTTATTCTACAATCTGGGTTTCATTCTACAATCTGGGGTTTATTCTACAATCTGGGTTTCATTCTACAATCTGGGTTTCATTCTACAATCTGGGTTTCATTCTACAATCTGGGTTTCATTCTACAATCTGGGGTTTATTCTACAATCTGGGGTTTATTCCATAATCTGGGTTTTATTCCATAATCCGGATTTTATTCTCTGATCCGGGTTTTATTACATAATTCGGTTTTTATCCCATAATCAGGTTTTAATTCCTGATCTGGGTGTTATTCCATAATCTGGATTTTATTCTATAACCTGGGATTTATTCTATAATCTGGGTTTTATTCTATAATCTGGGTTTAATGCTGCCTTCATGTTATATTATAATGATGTTAAATAACAAAAACTGAAATCCAAATTACACACGAACCTTCGCTCGTGAGGATGTGGTAACCTTTGGCCTTTCCACATCACACGGAGCAGAGAGAGATTATTCTGTATGATGAGTCATGTATCCTTAAACATCCTCTCTTTGGGTTTGATGATGTCAGACGATGATGTCACAGACATTTATTTTTTAAATATAACAGTTTAAACTTTTCTTGGTTTTAAAATTCAACAAACATGAACGATTGATCAGCGGCCAGTGGAGTACAGGAAGGGTCCCCAGTGGGTGGCGGAAGGGGGCGTGTCTCCAGTGGGATGGGGCGGGTCTCTAGTGGGAGGGGGCGGGTCTCCAGTGGGATGGGGCGGGTCTCCAGCGGACGGAGCGGGTCTCTAGTGGGAGGGGGCGGGTCTCCAGTGGGAGGGGGCGGGTCTCCAGCGGACGGAGCGGGTCTCTAGTGGGAGGGGGCGGGTCTCCAGCGGACGGAGCGGGTCTCTAGTGGGAGGGGGCGGGTCTCCAGCGGACGGAGCGGGTCTCTAGTGGGAGGGGGCGGGTCTCCAGCGGACGGAGCGGGTCTCTAGTGGGAGGGGGCGGGTCTCCAGCGGACGGAGCGGGTCTCAAGTGGGAGGGGCGGGTCTCCAGCGGACGGAGCGGGTCTCAAGTGGGACTTGGATGAAGTGGGTCTCAAGTGGGAGGGGCGGGTCTCCAGTGGGAGGGGGCGGGTCTCCAGTGGGAGGGGGCGGGTCTCCAGCGGACGGAGCGGGTCTCCAGTGGGAGGGGGCGGGTCTCCAGTGGGAGGGGGCGGGTCTCCAGTGGGACTTGGATGAAGTGGGTCTCAAGTGGGAGGGGGCGGGTCTCCAGCGGACGGAGCGGGTCTCCAGTGGGAGGGGGCGGGTCTCAAGTGGGAGGGGCGGGTCTCCAGCGGACGGAGCGGGTCTCTAGTGGGAGGGGGCGGGTCTCTAGTGGGAGGGGGCGGGTCTCCAGCGGACGGAGCGGGTCTCCAGCGGGAGGGGGCGGGTCTCAAGTGGGAGGGGCGGGTCTCCAGCGGACGGAGCGGGTCTCCAGTGGGAGGGGGCGGGTCTCAAGTGGGAGGGGCGGGTCTCCAGCGGACGGAGCGGGTCTCTAGTGGGAGGGGGCGGGTCTCTAGTGGGAGGGGGCGGGTCTCCAGTGGGAGGGGGCGGGTCTCCAGCGGACGGAGCGGGTCTCTAGTGGGAGGGGGCGGGTCTCTAGTGGGAGGGGGCGGGTCTCTAGTGGGAGGGGGCGGGTCTCCAGCGGACGGAGCGGGTCTCTAGTGGGAGGGGCGGGTCTCCAGCGGACGGGGCGGGTCTCTAGTGGGAGGGGGCGGGTCTCTAGTGGGAGGGGGCGGGTCTCCAGCGGACGGAGCGGGTCTCTAGTGGGAGGGGCGGGTCTCCAGTGGGATGGGGCGGGTCTCTAGTGGGAGGGGGCGGGTCTCCAGCGGACGGAGCGGGTCTCTAGTGGGAGGGGGCGGGTCTCTAGTGGGAGGGGGCGGGTCTCCAGCGGACGGAGCGGGTCTCAAGTGGGAGGGGCGGGTCTCCAGTGGGATGGGGCGGGTCTCTAGTGGGAGGGGGCGGGTCTCCAGCGGACGGAGCGGGTCTCTAGTGGGAGGGGGCGGGTCTCCAGCGGACGGGGCGGGTCTCTAGTGGGAGGGGGCGGGTCTCTAGTGGGAGGGGGCGGGTCTCCAGTGGGAGGGGGCGGGTCTCCAGCGGACGGAGCGGGTCTCTAGTGGGAGGGGGGCGGGTCTCCAGCGGACGGAGCGGGTCTCTAGTGGGAGGGGGCGGGTCTCTAGTGGGAGGGGGCGGGTCTCCAGCGGACGGAGCGGGTCTCTAGTGGGAGGGGGCGGGTCTCCAGCGGACGGAGCGGGTCTCTAGTGGGAGGGGGCGGGTCTCCAGTGGGAGGGGGCGGGTCTCCAGTGGGAGGGGGCGGGTCTCTAGTGGGAGGGGGCGGGTCTCTAGTGGGAGGGGGGCGGGTCTCTAGTGGGAGGGTGCGGGTCTCTAGTGGGAGGGGGCGGGTCTCCAGCGGACGGAGCGGGTCTCTAGTGGGAGGGTGCGGGTCTCTAGTGGGACGGAGCGGGTCTCTAGTGGGATGGAGCGGGTCTCTAGTGGGACGGAGCGGGTCTCTAGTGGGACGGAGCGGGTCTCTAGTGGGAGGGGGCGGGTCTCTAGTGGGAGGGGGCGGGTCTCCAGCGGACGGAGCGGGTCTCTAGTGGGAGGGTGCGGGTCTCTAGTGGGAGGGTGCGGGTCTCTAGTGGGAGGGTGCGGGTCTCTAGTGGGAGGGGGCGGGTCTCCAGCGGACGGAGCGGGTCTCTAGTGGGAGGGGGCGGGTCTCCAGCGGACGGAGCGGGTCTCTAGTGGGATGGGGCGGGTCTCTAGTGGGAGGGTGCGGGTCTCTAGTGGGAGGGTGCGGGTCTCTAGTGGGAGGGGGCGGGTCTCCAGCGGACGGAGCGGGTCTCTAGTGGGAGGGTGCGGGTCTCTAGTGGGACGGAGCGGGTCTCTAGTGGGAGGGGGCGGGTCTCCAGCGGACGGAGCGGTCAGTAACGGTGTTCTCTCTGGTCGAGGTTTCTCAGGGGGAGAGCTCAGTGAAGCCAGCAGCAGAGGACATGACGTCTAAGGACTACTACTTCGACTCTTACGCCCACTTTGGAATCCATGAGGTAAGGGCGGGGCCCCACAGGCCTCCTCTGATTGGTGGCTCTTCCTTCAGCCGGTGCTCTTATTGGTCCTCTGTTGCTACATCCGTAGGAGATGCTGAAAGACGAGGTCCGCACCCTGACTTACCGCAACTCCATGTTCCACAACAAGCACCTGTTCAAGGACAAGGTGGTTCTGGACGTGGGCAGTGGGACGGGCATCCTCTGCATGTTCGCTGCCAAAGCCGGAGCCAAGAAGGTCATCGGGGTAAGCTCCAACCTTCTCGCTCCTCCTGCTCGCTCTGGTCAGCCATGTTCCTCACCGCCGCCTCTGCTTGGGTTTGCAGATAGAGTGCAGCAGCATCTCAGACTACGCCGTGAAGATCGTCAAGGCCAACAACCTGGATGACGGTGAGTAGGTGGACGCCAGCGGGACCCCGGGGGCGCAGCAAGGACTAACGGAGGACCTTCTCTCTGCAGTGGTGACCATCATCAAGGGGAAGGTGGAGGAGGTGGAGCTGCCTGTGGAGGGGGTGGACATCATCATCTCAGAGTGGATGGGCTACTGCCTGTTCTACGAGTCCATGCTGAACACGGTCATCTACGCCAGGGACAAGTGGCTGGTGAGGAGGGGGGGCTATGACATCATCAGTTAGCAGCATGGTGGGGGGGGGCATGGTTCCTGAATGGACCGGGCGGTTCTGCTAACAGTTTGAGTCCTGCTGTTGGTACTGTGTGGACCCCAATCAGGTCCATAGACATTATAAACTTAGGCTACGTTCACACTGCAGCCTGAAGTGACCCAATTCTGATTTTTTTGCCCATATGTGACCTGTATCTGATCTTTTTATGACAGTCTGAACGACACAGATCGGATTTTTTCAAATGCGACCCAGACCACTTGGATATGTGGTCCTGAATCCGATACGTACCTGATCTTTTCAAATGCGACCTGTGTCTGTACGGCCAGGTCGCATTCATCCGACCTACACGTCATTGATACTTGACAAATGTTACTAAACGTTACTAATCTGCGTCCTACTAAGCGGAGGTGGGGAAAAACTAACAACCATGGCGGAAGATAACACAGAGAACAGTCAATGGAGAGAAAGTGAGGTTGCTGACTTAATTCATATTTGGAAAGATAGCTCGATTCAGACCAAACTCGAAGGGTCTTACCGGAACCGGGGGATATTTGAAAACATTTCCCGAGAAATGGCCGATCGGGGATACAAACGCTCCTGGATCCAATGCCAACGGTATGACGAGTCATGTTTACTTCCGCAAACACTGAGGACGCTTGCTACATGTGACGTCATCGCGTCCTCCAGTGCGCATGCGGGACACTTCGGTTGAACGCTTTCAGTTCACACGGTAGATCGCATACAAGTCGCACATACTTGGAAGTGTGAACGGACACGCAAAAAAATCCGATTTCACAAAAAAATCGGAATTGAGCATGAAGGCCTGCAGTGTGAATGTAGCCTTAGACGGTGCCGGCAGCGAGGCCGACGTGACTGGAGGGCGGCCATCTTGGATCAGACCAAAGTTCAGACAGCTGCTGTCAGAATGAATAGGAGGCGCCTTGGATCTCATTTTAATCCCATGAAAGACGAGTCAGAGATATTAATATGATTAACAAATAGTTATATATCCATATTATTTACCAAAAATGTTTATGTAGTATATTATTATTATTATTCAGTATTTTAAAGGATTGCTCTTTGATAATGAGTATTATAATTATAGAGGAAGGTTTGTTGTAATATCATTTACTAAGGAGAGTAAAGTTATATATTTTTATTAATTTTGTTCATTTTTAATTTTTTTGTGAAATAGTGAATAGTAAATTTGTTGTCTAAACTCCTTCAAAAAATCTTTTTTACACTGTTTTTTTATCATTTATGCATATGTGAACATTTGTTCTTTAATCAGTAAGTATATATATATATATATATATATATATATAGCTGTATTTGTGTGTATAGACTAGACATTACAGCCCCTTGACCATAAATCTGCTTGGATTAAACAGAGTAGCTTCCTTCTTTGGGTTATAGTATATTATGAACAAATGTTATTGTAATTTTATCTCCAACTCATCTTTCATGGGATTAAAATGGGATCCAAGGCGCCTCCTATTCATTCTGACAGCAGCTGTCTGAACTTTGGTCTGATCCAAGATGGCCGCCCTGTAGGCACGTCGCTGCCGACAGCGTCCAACGAAGCGTCTTTGTTTATAATGCGTATGGGAAGGTCCTGCTGCTGATTGATCTGATAAATCAGCAGCAGACGGCGCCGCCTGCTGGCAGCGGTGGAGAACTGCAGTCTAGCAGAGGTCCGTTTGATGACGGTCTGAATATGCAGCACCGGTTCCTGACCCGTTTGGTTCTGTTCTGCTTCCAACAGAAACCAGATGGGCTGATCTTCCCGGACCGGGCCACGCTGTACGTCACCGCCATCGAAGACCGCCAGTACAAGGACTATAAGATCCACTGTGAGTAACAAACTCCGCCTCCTCAGTTAAAGATGATGGAGCAGAACCAGAAGATGATCTAGGAACCGTGGCAGATTAGAGCTGACTCGCTGGTTCTGAGGGGCTCTGGATTAGGAGGAGGCCTTCCAGAAGAACAGCAGCAGAACCACTGGATGGGCCTCCAGCCGGGTCGCTCCAGTGGTTCTGCTCACCTCTAACCACGCTCTCTGAACGTGTCAGCCTGGTGTTTTCCTAGAGGTTCTGGTGGGTTCTGTGGACCTGCTCCCGGCACCAAGCGGCCCGTTCAAGCACAGGTTGTGACCCGTGTCCTCCTCTCCCCAGGGTGGGAGAACGTCTACGGGTTTGACATGTCCTGCATCAAGGAGGTGGCCATCAAGGAGCCCCTGGTTGATGTGGTGGACCCCAAGCAGCTGGTCACCAACTCCTGCCTCATCAGGGTGAGTCATCAGTCGCCGGGGGGTGGGGGCGGTTCTGTTCTGCAGAACCGGGACTGAACCCATCTGTTTGTGCAGGAGGTGGACATCTACACGGTGAAGGCCGAGGACCTGACCTTCACCTCGCCGTTCTGCCTGCAGGTGAAGAGGAACGACTACATCCATGCTCTGGTCACCTACTTCAACATCGAGTTCACCCGCTGCCACAAGAGGATCGGCTTCTCCACCAGTCAGTGGGCTCCTTCCTCACGCGGGTCACAGGGTTCTGGTCCAGATGGTCCAGATCCCGACCCTTCGGTACCGGGCCAGATTCAGCAGCTCTAGATTCATAGCTCTAACTAAAGTTTGCAGTACTGCATCAGTCCGACTTTCCCTCTAGAATATTTCCAAACACCATGGAGGGCCCCCGGCCCTCAGGGGCCCCCATCTCCAAAGCCTTTAGGCTGATTTTATTGTCAGAAACCAGGTCATCTCAGTGCGATATGCCCCGCCCCCTTCCTCAGACACCTCCCTATAATTGTAGGTGACCGCAGGTCTATGGCTGCGTTCACACTGCAGCCTAAAGGAACCCAAATCTGATTTTCTACCCATAAGCCACCTGGATCGGATGTTTTCATGTCTGAACAGCTCAGATCTGATGTTTTCCAAAGCGACCCAGGATGCTTGGCTCTGTGGTCCTGGATCTGATGCGTATCTGATCTGTTTAAATGTGACCTGTTTCTGAACGCCAGGTCGCATTCATCCCACCTGAACGCCATTAATATCCGACAGTGGATCCTCGTCTGCTTCTGGCTACGCAGAAGCGGCAAGAAAAACGGCAATGGTGGACGATAAAGCAAAGAGCGGTATTTCTAATTAACCATTTTTGAAAAGATTGAGTTTTTAAGGTTGGTTAAGATCGCTAAATGTTCTCTGGCGCTACCATCCATGTTTACTTCCATAAACATGAAGCATGCTGGCCTGTGACGTCATGGCGTCCTCTACTGCCCATGCGCGACACTTAGGTTGTTCGCCTGCAGTTCACACAGGAGATCACGTACAAGTCGCGTTTATTTGGAAATATGAACGGAAACGCAAAAAAACCGGGAATTGATCAAGGCCTGCAGTGGAACGTAGGCAGCGCCGCAGACAGGAGGCCTCTGATTGGTCAAACTTACATCCGCTCTACATTACGCGTATTTCCTGTTTGGTAGCTTAATGAAAACGACTGGTGAAGATGGAGCAGCTAGCAGAGCGAGCTGAGAACGCTGGGAGCCTTTTTCCACCTGGATCCCCGCTCTTTTTGGCCCTCATGTCCCTCCGTTGTCCCACAAACTTGCCCCCCACTTCCTCACTGCTGTATCTAGACCCACAGCTAGTTCCTGGAGCTGAGGTGGTCCTGGTTCTGGTTCTGGTTCTGGCCCGTTTAGTTTGTGCTGTTAGCTGCAGCTCGGAGCAGAAGGTGATGCTGATGTTTGTTCTCCAGGTCCAGAGTCTCCTTACACCCACTGGAAGCAGACGGTGTTCTACCTGGACGACTACCTGACTGTGAAGACGGGAGAGGAGATCTTTGGCACCCTCAGCATGAAGCCCAACGTCAAGAACAATGTAAGTGGACCCGGTGGGTTCTGCTGCTGGGTGAGTGGCTGGCTTTGAGGTTCTAACCCGCGGTGTCTCTGCAGAGGGACCTGGACTTCGCCGTGGACGTGGACTTCAGGGGTCAGCTGTGTGAGATCTCAAAGACTCTGGAGTACCGGATGCGCTAGGAGCCCGTCCCTGTGGGTCCCAGTCTCCGGCCCATCCGGGTCACGGGGCGACCTTTTAAAACACGTCGGGTTTCTTTCATAGTTCTCCAGTATTTCCAGTGTTCCCACATCTTTAAGTTTCCAGTCATGGTGTGGTGATTCCTCGTGCAGTAGGTATCTGGGCCCAGAGTCCTCCTGGGTTCTGCCTCCAGGCTGCAAACCCAACTGTTACCAAGGTGTTCCTCAGCAGGCCGCTCTGCTCCATCCAGGTGAGAAGCTCCGTCCACAAGCTCCCAGCTGGAGGCCGAGGCCCAAATCAAGCCGGACTTTAGTTTTCCCCCTTTTTTTTTTATTATTATTGTTTTTGGCTGCTGCTCTTTTTAACAAATAAAGTGAATAAATGTTTCCGCCTCGTGTTCCTGATCTACAGCCGCCCTGTCGGCCAATCAGAAGGCCCCATTCCAGACTGGGACCAGTTCCAGGGATGCTCTGTCCTGCTGGGCAGGACCTCCTTCTCTTCTGCTCAGCTTCAGGTTCTGTTCTGATCAGAACCTGTTTGGGTTTCATTCAGTCCAGAGGAGCTGGAGGTCAGAACCTCTGGACTCAGTTCAACCTGCTTCTGTTCCAGTAAAGGCTGCCACCTGGAGCCGCCATCTTCTGGTTTCATTCCAGTTCCGCATTTTTATTTCCAAACGGAACCAAAAGAGCCGAGCGGGTCAGAACCATCTGAGTATGGGTGGGATGGAGCAGAACTAGATTCTAGATGTTCTAGTAGAAATGTTCAGAAGTTAATTCAGTCAGTAGAACTGATCTTGGTGGAAAAAGTTCAGCGTTAATAAACAGAACCGGTTCCTTCTGCTCTGATTCAGTCTGGTCCTTTGTTAGGGGTGAGGGGAGGCGTGTGGCGGGTAGAGGAAGGGCAGTTTCCACGAGGCGCGTATCGCCGTACCACCTGACCGCTTCAGGAAGTGGTTCAGCTCGCCCTGAACTTCAGCCTCTGTGTTCCAGTCCAGATGTTTTTAGCCCGTTTCTGAGGCTGCTGAAGCAATCCTAAAATATGAGCCGTTCTAAAACTGATTTTTACAATAAAAACCAAAATTGTAAAAACTATTTAGTAATTGGTTATTTAATCCCTTAAATTATGTACTGGTTCATCAGATATAATCGGGTAAACCAGCCTGATGGAGCTCCTTACCTGAAACGCTGCATTCAGGTGTTTCTGAAATGTTCCGATTTCTGCACATACTGATGGAGTGTTGGTGAAATGTTCACCAGTGAGGTGCTCTGTGTCTGAGACTGCTTTTTCTCTATAACCACAACTCTATATTTAAATTTACTGAACCACTACTAAATTATTTCAGCTTATTTGAATTTATAATCCATTTTCTGATGACCAGTCTAAAGAGGGAGAGGAGTAAAGGGGGAGCAGAGGTGTGTGAAAGGTGAAAGGTCAGGAAAACCAGCAGCTGTTAAAGTGACAAAGAAAAACATTTAATTCAGTCGGTTTATCATGGATGGAAATCATTTAGGCACAAAAGATAAAACTCATTTCATGAAAACTGATTCAAAGGTTTCTATGAAACAAATTGATTTGATAGGTTGGAATATTCTAAATGCTTTTTGCTTGTCGGCTTTTTGCCCACGTCTCAGATACGAAGCATCAGTCAATGATGGAGTCGGTTAAAAGGTGAAAGTAATCATGTCTCTGGGTGCTCAGCCCCCCTAAACCTCTGATCCTAGAACCGCCCCTGGTTTGGATAGATTGGCTAGTTGGCTAAAACTAGTTTAATTAGATTAAACAATATAATGATCAGAATCTGAGCCAGCCACTGGTTACAGCTGGAAGGTTAGTGTTAACTAGTATCGCTGTCTGGGAAAACGTCACCCTGCTAGGGGCGTCAGAACTCCCATTCTGAGGTTGTTGGTTTGAATCCCACCTCAGACTTTTGGAAGTTGCAATGAAAAGAAGTATTTTGGCTAAAGTGACGTGGTTTGCCCTCCTACAGATAAAGATTAGATAAAACGCTGCTAAATTAGATTGGTTGGTTTAACCAAAAGGTTCGTTGAACACATAACTTCCAACATGATTAAAAAAAATGGAAAAACTGTTTGAATAAAAATGACACATTTTGATCACTGCCCAATTTGCACTTATTTCACTTAAATAGCTTTTCTCTTCTAAGACATTTTACACACAAAAAAAAGATTTTATTATTCAGACCAATTAATTTCAAAGGAACTTAAGTGGGAAAAAAAGACATTAACTGTAGTTCTGCTCTCCACCAGTAGGTGGGGCTCATGAAGCTTCATCAACATCATTCATGTTGGCCTGTAGAAACTTGGCTGCAGAAAGAGGACTATGACATGAGGAAACTCCTAGTTAACAGCTGCAGCTCTTTAGATGTGATGGTTTTAGGCAGGTGATTTTCCCACGCTTAGAATTAATGCCTTAAAGTCCAGCCTTGGTCTCATCAGACCAGAGAATCTTCTTCCTCATAGTCTGGGAGGCCTTCATGGGTTTCATCTGTCTGTCTGCTCTGAGGAGAGGCGTCCGTCGGGCCGCTCTGCAGCCCCGCCTGGTGGGGGGCTGCAGGGATAGGTGACTTTCTCCCATCTCCCTGCTGCTCCTCTGGAGCTCAGCCAGTGATGGTTGACTTCTTCTCTGACCATTGCTCAGCTTGGCTGGACGTCCAGGTCTAGGAAGAGTTCTGCTCGTCCCAAACTTCTTCCATTGGAGGATGATGGAGCCGCTGAGGAACCTGTTTAGGAACCTTGGCCTCAGTCTCTGAGCTCCTTTCCTTCCCCCTCATGGTTCTGCTTTGCTCTGACAGCTCTTCTATAGACAGCTGTGCTCCTTTCCTCATCAGGTTCATTAAACACAGCTGGACTCCAATGGAGGAGCAGAACCATCTGATCAGCAAACCAGACGGCCTGAGAGTTAAAGAGGAGCCACAGCAAAGGGCCTGAATACTGATTACCAGCTGATTATTGTTATTTTTTTATAAATTTCTGGGTTTTTTTCTGTCAGGATGAGATGCTGAGTTACATTAATGACAAATAAAATGAACTTAATTGATATTAGCAAAAGGCTGCAATGATGAAAAAATTGAAGGAAATTTTAGCGCGTTGTGACAAACACCAGATACAGCACTGGGACTTGATCAACAGCCGATACCGCACCGTCACTAACCAGTAGGTGGCAGTAGTGTTCTTTGACAAACATGGATGCCTCCAGTAAAGCACATTCACATGAAATTACTCTGAATTAAAAACACTGATCATTTATTGAACAGGATGGAATCATTTCAGATTTAAAGAACTTTCAGGAGTTTGGATTCTGAATATGAGCGACTTTTCCTTTAAGCAGGGATGTTCTGATCCGATACTGAGGCAGAACAGCGCAGCTATGTGACCCAGAGTGGGTCAGTGGTTCTGATACCGGCTGGTTCTGTTCATCCAGACCCACAGGATGCCTGATCCTCTGGAATCATCCAATCAGAACGGACAATTAGTTAATAAGATGAAACCTGAGCCGGTTCACCTAGAAATGATTTTATTAAATACAGCAGTTTAAAAAATATAACCCCCCCCCCCCCTTCAGCAGAGCCCTGAGGCTGGAACACGGCGGCGGTCCGAGTCAGGGCGCGGTCTCCCAGCACCTCTGTCTCCTGTAGAGGTCAAAGGTGGACGAGGCTGGACATGGGGACAGAGACGCTTTCATCACTGGTGGCCCCTCCTCCAGTGGGAGGGGCTTCTGTCGGTACAGGTCAGAGTCGATGAAGAAGTGGAGGGAGGGGCCCTCTCCTGTCTTGTTGTCATGGCAGCAGGGTGGAGGCGGAGCCAGCATCAGCCTGTCCTGCAGCACCTGGCTGAGCAGCTGATCCTCCTGGACGCTGACGCTGACCAGAGAGCTGAAGAGGATCTGAGAGCGAGAGACGTTCACCTCTGGAGAGAGAGAGAGAGAGAGAGAGATGAGTAGCATCCAGATGTTAGCCTGAGCCGGGGACAGACTCCTCTCTGGAGGGGGGGTCACCTTCAGCGGCTCGGGCATCCATCAGGGCCCGGGTCCTTCCTGGGTTCTGAAGGGTCTCCTGGAGCGCCCTGTGGGGATCGAAGGCTTCCTCCTGGAGAAGAGAAAGACTGAGGATGAGGAGGATGAAGAGCCCAGAGGAAGGGGGGGGGGTGGGGGGGGGTCTGAACTTCAGAACCGCTCCCATCCCAGAGGAACAGGAAGCTCTGGGAGAATTTATGGAGCAGAAACGGTCCTGAACGACAGAGAAACGGATCAGATGGATTCACTGGAGTCTGGACTGGAACCAGAACCAGAACCGGGTTCCTGGTTTCTCCCATTCATAGTTCTGGGATCCGGTCTGCTCAAACCCCCAGAAAGGTGGGTAGTTCTGAGCCTGGTTCTGGTTCCGGTTCTGGACAGGAGAAGGATTAAACACAAAGACCGGAGCAAAAAGGAGAACCTTTCAGCAGCAGAACCTGAGCGGGTGGAGTCCACCAGGACCCACCGAGCTGCCATGGTCAGAGCAGACCCCCCAGTCCTACCAGTCCCTTATGACCCCCCCAGTACTACCAGTCCCTCAGGACCCCCCAGTCCTACCAGTTAGGGGTAACGGCGTAGAGGGGTAGAAGGTGGAGGAGGAAGAAGCAAACCTGCAGCGTCTGGAGCTCCACCTTCAGGGCCAGGGTGGAGTTAAGCTCTGCCTTTTCCAGACGGCTCTGGTTCTGGAAGGTTGGGTCCACAGAACCTCCCCCAGCTCCTGACAGAACACATTAGGAACAATAGGGCCGGAACCAGAACCGGTGGATGAGGACTAGAACCTTATAGTTACCATGGTGATGGCCTGAGCTGCTGCTGGGCTGCTGATGAGGTTCTGGTTCTGCTGTGAGCGGCTCTCTGAAGCCCACCTGGACAGGAAGACAAAGCAGGTGGTCGTTATGGAAACAACATCCAGCACGGCTCTAGAACTTGGGACCACCTGGTTCTTCTGGTGGTCCATCAGCTGCTAACATCTAGGTCCACATCAGCTTTAAAGTATTCACACCCTCTGCTTTGTCTGCAGACCAGCTGGCCTCCAGAAGGTCAGACTGGAACTGGTTCCACAGAGACCTCCTCCATGCTGCCGCTGCCGTGCATCTGGCAGAATCAGCAGAGGTCAAAGGTCAGAACACCTCCTCCTCTGCTGGACCTCCCAGAGCAGCAGGTCGCTGCCGCTCCGGAACATTCCGGTAGAATCATAATCCTGATGAACTGACTGACCAGGTGACCTTCACAGGTGGTCCATCTCCCTCACAGACGTCTTCAAACTCTCTCTTCCTTACCTGACCGCTTTGAATCTCAGACTCACTCACTGAAAGTCAGAAACCAACAGAAGCAGTGAAACGCAGCGATGTGAAAAACGTCGCCGCATCAACCACAGGTGGAAGCAGAACAAAGATGGCCGCTCCGGTTTTAGCTGGAAAACCCAAATGATGCAATTTGTTCCTTTGTGGATGTTTGCTGGTTTATCAGTTAACATCAATCAAGTTGCTACGGCTGCTGTGATTGGTCAAGAGCTCCACATGGAGGCAGCTACCCAATCAGCTAGCTTCCACGGCATCCAGTGCCCAGTTTGTCCAGTTCCTAGTCAGTCCAGTTCCTAGTCTGTCCAGTTCCCAGACTGTCCAGTTCCCAGTCTGTCCAGTTCCCATTCTGTCCAGTTCCCAGTCTGTCCAGTTCCCAGCAGTCCAGTTCCTAGTCTGTCCAGTTCCCAGTCTGTCCAGTTCCTAGTCAGTCCAGTTCCTAGTCAGTCCAGTTCCTAGACTGTCCAGTTCCTAGTCAGTCCAGTTCCTAGTGAGTCCAGTTCCTA